TAAAGTGCTTCTCAGATAAGATCAAATTCAAGGAGTTCATCATCACCAAGCCCTTATTATATGAAATGTTAAAGGGACTTATCTAAGAAAAAGAAGTTAAAGAAACATGAACAGCGAAAGGACAACAAACTCACAGTTATTAACAACCACACCCAAAACGAAAGCAAACTAAAAGGACAGCTAGATCAGGAGTGGAAACATAGAAATGAAGATCTCAAGGAGGGTTAGCAACAGGGGAGTGGGAGGAGGAGAAGGGGGGAGAAAGTACAGAAAATAAGTAGCATAGACAGTAGATAGAAAATAGAAGGGGGGGCAAGAATAGAATGGGAAATATAGAATCAAAAGAGCATCTCCTGCTGGCCTCAACTCAGATGCTATTTCAAAGAATCGCACTAGATGGCGGTGTGCAGGAGAGTGTGAAAAAGGGTCCCACTCCGAGAGGGTGGGGGTCCTGCCAAGTCAGCCCTGGGTCCTCAGACTGCTAGGAGAAGTACTTTTACCTAAGACAGGATGGAGCCTAATGACATGAGGTCTGGGTCCTCACCAGAGAGCATAAGAGGTCATGTCAGGTCACCTCTGGGTCTTATACGCAAGGGAAGGGACCTCACCTGAGACCTGTGGGTCCAAGAGTCCTGTGACCTGAGGCCTGGGCCACTTGAGTGTGGAGAGGACCACACGAGAGACAGGAGTGTCCTGTTACTGCACACCTGTGTCCTGTGAGGGTTGAGAAAGGTCTGTGAAATGTAAGTGTCCTGACCCTCCACCTTTGAGCCTGGTAACTGTGCAGAGAAAGCTGTGGGTCCTGTCACTTCAGCCCTGGGTCCAGGAATATCCAGAAGAAGCCTCTCCAGGGGGAGGAAGCTGTGGTTTCGAGTCAGCCCCGGGTGTTGTGAGCAGGAGGAGAGGCCCCACCCGAGAGGACACCTGGTCTTCTGACATCAACCAGCGTCCAATTCAGTGTGTGGGGGTTCAACGTGGGATAGTCGGGGGTGCTGTCTCATCACCTTGGAGTCTTCTGAATGTGGGAGGCCCCTCACTGAGAAATTAGGGAGCCCTGCCATCTGAACTCTGGGTCCTGGGAGTGTGGGAAGGGGTCTCTCCCTCCCAGGAGTGGGGTCCTGTCACAGTGAAGAGGGACCCGACCTGGGAAAGACAGGCGTCCTGCCTGACAGCCGAGTCCTGTGGACATGGGAAGGGTTCCCACCTGACAAAGTAGGGAGCCTGTCACACTGGCTCTGTCCCCTGTGCGTCTGCAAAACGGTCCCACCAGGAAGAAGAGAGATTCCCCTTCCACTCAGCTCTGGGGCCCCTCATTGTGGGGAAAGGTCCCTCCTGGAAAATGCAGGCGATCCTGTCACGTCTGCTCTGGGGGCAGGGACGCTGGGGTCGGGTCACACTGGAGACAGGAGAGGGCAGAAGAAGGCAGCCAACGCTGTGGTCCCAATTATTCAGCAATGCAAGTCACAGACCAACACCAACCCTGAGGACTCCCGGACGCAGTAACTCCTGGCAAGAAAGGTCCCCACTTCAGCAACGGGGTTGGGCAGGAGCTACTATCCTCTGACACCTTCAGCCTGATTCCTCGAGTCCATATGCCACGCGCCTAGTTTTGTTGCAACAGCAAAGTTCACTTCCATCTTTAGGGAGAACTCCTCACAGTGGCTACAGCAAAGAAGACCCTCACCGTCAACCACTTCACTTAGAACTGTCCCCAAACTCTACCTCGGCCCTTCCCCTGGCTGGGCACACAGTGAGAACCAGACCCCCACTGGGCCGGCGTCCCCTCGGACAGGGACGTTTGTCTCACCAGGGGCATTTCTGACATAAACGCTGACTCTCCCTACTGGCACCTAAACAAGCCGAATGTCTGGGGAGAAAAACGCGCGTGTAACGACCCTGCTGCTGGAGGCCGCCCATGTGGGCAGGTCCCCTGCTCAGGCGCCCGGAGCCTCCGTGTCCGCACTTGGGGTCCAGCGACCCTCCCCCTGTTCTGGCACCGCGGAAAAAGGGAGAAGTCCTTCACCCCCTCACCACGCTCCCGGGACGCCGGTTTCCCGTTTTTTCCTCTCTCTTCCTAACCGGAAAAGAGAGGGGTGACCTAGGCGGCGTTGGACAGCGCATCCAAATGAACCCTCAGCCGACGCCGGCTCCGCGAACCCCCAGACACGCACTGCGCCCCGCTGGCCCGTGAGAGGCCGCAGGCCGGCGCGCAGCGTCGTTGGTGGTGAGGCCCTCCCTGCCCTTGAGCGACAGGCCCCCCCAAACCTGTGCGAGCGCGCGGCCCCTGTCCCATCTCCCTCCCCATTGCTCTTCCCCAAAACCCTCCTGCAGTTTCTCACCGTCTCCGTCACCTCCGCCCCCCCCCCCCCCCCAGCTCTCTGTCCCCAAACCTCCGTTCTCCCCGTTCCACCCGATTTCCCCGCAGGCCCTTTCCCTTCTCGCCCCCAAAGTAACCCGTTCACACCTCCCCTGACCGGCTCCGGTCCACCTCCTGTATCCGCAGCTTCCCAGCACCGCGCACCAGGGTGCGGTCCTCCTTCCAGTCACGCACTGCCCTTCCCTCCTCTCCGGGGCTTCGCCCCCCCCCCCAACCCCGAACCTCGACCCGCCAGGATCGCATCCCCGCCAGCACCTCCGCCCCCCTAGAACCCCTCCCGGCCCCTCCGTGGTGCACCGGGCAGAGTCCTGGTCACTCCTCCTCCCGTAGTTCTCGAAGTTCCCGGACCCGCATCGCCCGCGCCCCCTCGGCGGCTCTCCTTCCCAGGACCTTCGCCCCTGGGGCCCCGCCGACGCCCCTCTGCCCATGCGGGCTGATCCGCTGGCGCGTCCGGGCCCAGTGACCCCTGGGAGGGAAGAAGGGACGGGCGCGTCAGGGGGGACGGGATGGGTCTAAGAAGGGCTCTGGGACCGGACGGACCAACCGGACCGTCCAGACCGCAGGGAGGCCGAGCTGAGCGCCCGGCAGGTGTGTCCCGGGCCGCGGGGGTGCGGCCGAAGGGCAGTCTCGGGCCGGGGAGGGGAGGGCGTCGGTAATAGTCGTGCCCACCCTGCAGTGATATTAGAATGGCGGGGGGGGGGGGGGGGGGTGAATCCAGACTGAGTAACGTGCTGCCTTTGACGTCATTCCTATTTTCAGTCCTAGAAAGAGGGAAGAATTTGACGTCAAATAAGGGAAACCTGTCGCTTCAGTCCGGAAATCTAAACAAAAGGAGTGACGTCCCAGTAAGAGCAACATTAACAAAATGGACCATAAACTGAGGAAAACACACGCAGACCAACGAGCCTCCCAGGGCGCCGCCCCCGCTGCCTCTCGCCACGCAGTGCAGAGGGGGCCGCGGGGACCGTGGGTTCCCGGGCGTCCGCTGAGACTTCACTGTTTGCAACGCTCACCGAGGTCCAGGGCTGGGAGGGGGAGCAGAAACCATCCCTCCGGCTCAACCCTGACTCAGGTGTGACCCTGGGCAAGGCCTGGGCGCCTCGCAGACACGGGAAGAAAAGAGGGGGAGTGAGCCAGTGAGGCGCACCCCTGACCCCACCCCCATAACCTCCACCCTGCACCCTAACCTCCAAACTCAAACCATGACCCTATAACCCTGGACCCTAGACCCTCAGCACTGACCCTTACACTGCAAGCCTGGCCCTGACCTTCTAACTCTGACCCCATACCCTAACCCTGACCTCTCTCTTGACTCCTGACTCCTAGCCCCTAACTGGAGCCCTAATATAAAAAGTAGTTTTAAAACTGAACAAAAAAACAGACACTCGACCCAATTTTAAAATGAGGAAAGGACTTGAATAGACACTTGTACAAACAAGACATAAAAACGACAGCAATTATATAAAAAGTTTCAACATTAATAATCACTTTTTAAGATTGGATTTATTTTACAGAGAGGGGAAGGGAGGAAGAAAAACAGCAAGAGATACATCACTTGGTTGCCTCTCACAAGCCCCCAGCTGGGGGCCTGGGTCACACCCCGGGCACGTGCCCTGACTGGGAATCAAATCAGAACCTTGTGGTCCGTAGGCCGGTGCTCAATCCACTCAGCCACACTGGCCAGAGCAGTGATCCTTACTGAAATGAAAATAAAAGCTACAATGACATATCCATTTCCACACACAAGAAGACGAATATGTGGGGACCACTGTGTGGTTTCTGAGAGTGCAGCCCCTCAAGAGCAAGTCTCCCTGGAAAACCAAAGATGCAGGTGGCAGACATGACCCGACTCCACCCCGGGGCTTCCCGTGGGAAGCAGGCCTGATAAGTACAGTGTCTCCTTTGAAGCCTGTTCTGCTCTGTTGTGTGTGGCTCTGTTGATATAAACCGTATGTTTAAGTTCGGGGCCTAAGAAGTACACTCCTCATCTCATGAAACACGGGTTAAAGACCCTCCGGCATCAGCACGAGGAACAGACCCTGACCGAAGGCAGACCTCTGTGTTCCTCCGATTGTTGTCTACAGATAAAATCTATTTTTGTGATGACTGTAGCCTTTTGGGCATTGGTTGATGGGATATGATGAGTGCTGTGTACACGTACACGTACCATTCCCAATCAAAGCCGTTTGGGACCAGGGCCCGGGGCTGTTCTCCACCAGCGGGAGTCACCACCCCCTTCGGGGCCAGAACAGCAAGGTTGCGTCCGGGACGACTTATCTGTCACCCACAGGGGACGGGAGGAGCCCCCCACAGGAACACAGACGAGTGCTGAGCAGTGTGTACAGAGGTTAAGACCCTCGTGCTGCGGGAATGTGAAAGTTCAAGGTGTCTCAGAAAGCTAAACATCCAGTTACCTTCGAACTCAATTCCACTCCCTAGTTACATACTTCCCAAAACTTAAGACAGGTTTCCCACCCAAAATTGGTTCATGAATGTTTGTAACAGCCTAATTCACACACCAAAAAGGTGGACACCGCCCCAACGTCCACCCACACAGGCGTGGACAGACGGAACGCGCTCTCTCCGTGGACACAGTCCTGCTCAGTCTTGAGAAGGAAGGTGGATGTGGGTGGTGCAGCTGCCGCAGAAACACGGTGGTTCGTCAGAGGTTAACTAGGGACTCGCCACGTGATCCCGCGATTCCGCTTCTGGACTCACGCCCCACCAAACTGAGGACAGGCTCTGGAACCGAGGGCTGCACCTCTGTTCCCGCTGGGCCCGCCTCTCTGGGGTGAGTCGCCTGGGCAGCGTTTGGGGACCTCGACTCCCCTGAGCTGCCCGCCTCTGCTCACTGCAGGTGTTCGACGTGCAGAGGAAGGTGACCTTCAGAAACCTGGGTACCTGGTACGCAGAGCTTCGGGACTTCAGGCCGGAGATCCCTTGTGTCCTGGTGGCCAATAAAATCGACGGTGGGGCCCTCCCTGCCTCTGGTGTCTGAGGTTCCCGGGGGTCCGAGACACACCCTTGGTTGCAGGCTGTCACCTCCCTCCCAGTAAATACCCCGCTCTCTGGAAAGGGGCCGTGACCCGGCCCGCCAGCCCCTCTCTTTCCGTTGATGACTGTCTGGTGTCCTACCTCCTCTCTGCACTGAACATAAAGATGACCCAAAAAAGCTTCAGCTTTGCCAGGAAGTTCTCCCTGCCCCTGTACTTTGTCTCGGCTGCGGACGGCACCAACGTGGTCAAGGTAATGGCAGCCGGGCGAGGTGGGGACGCACAGGGCAGCGCATGGCTGACTACAGGGGGTGGGGCCCTGGGGCGGTGGTGGGGCCTGTGACAGGCGGGGCCCTGTAACTACTTGCAGAGGGGCTGGTGGGCCTGTGGACCGTGCATGGAGGCTGTGATGGGAAGCAGGTGCACTGAGGGCTGCAGTGTCCTGTGGACCGAGGGCGGTGCCAGTGGGTCCGAGACAGGCAGGGCCCAGGTCCCTGGCACCCACGGCCAAAGTTTCCTTTCTCCCCCACCTCCCCCAGCTCTTCAATGATGCGATTCGATTGGCTGTGTCTTATAAGCAGAATTCCCGGGACTTCATGGGTGAGGTTTTGCAGGAGCTCGAGGTAGGTCAGGCCCAGTGTCAGGTAGGACCCAGGAGTGGCTCCTTGTAGCAGGGTGTGCAGCACAAGCCAGTGCAGCGGCTCCAGCAGACAGCGCCTTCGGGGGATGCCTCGCACAGGGAGATGTCACTGCATGTGGGCAGGTACAGGGCCAGGCCTCACCAGCAGCCTTGTCCGCAGAACATTGATTTGGAGCCAGAGGAGGAGGAGCACAGGCCCGGCCAAGAGCAAGAGCAGCTTGGCCGCCCCGAGAGCCCGGCCCCCTCCTGAGGCCCAGAAGGAGGTCCCTCCCACCCTCCGGCAGCCCCCCAGCCTGCCCGGGACACCAGCCTTTCCACCGTGAGCCCCTCCTGTACTTCAGGCCGAGAGGGGCCGGCCCCAGCAAGCACCCTGGACACAGGGAAGAGGTCCGCCCCAGGCCCGAGGCAGGATGAGGGACTGCTGCCTCCCCCCAGGGTCACTCGACAGGGGCTCAGGGAGCGTGCTGGGTGTGTGTCTCAGATGAAAGGAGACTCGGGCCGCTGTTTTGTCTCCCAGAACTGACCTCAGGGCCTCTTTGTTGCGTGGCCACCGAGGGCGTGACTTCTACCCCTGACTGCCCATTCCCATCGCTGCAGAAAGTGGGGGCGTCATCCTTTTCACTTCCAGTCTCCCAGCCAACCTTTTTAAACACTGGGTTTGAGCAGAGAGCTGTTCTTGCCACAGGGGTTTCAGGAGCCCCTCTGGGTACGGCCAGAACATCGGTTCCTGGCCAAGGTCACAGACACAGGGGTGCCATCAAAATCCAGTGAGCAGGTGGCAGGTGTGCCGGACTTGCTTCACAAACGTCTTTGCTGGAAAACATCGAGGGCCAGAGCAGCCTCCGGGAGGCGTGCGTGCCATTTTGGATGAGAGACTCTGCAAGGGGAACGTCGTCGAAAACCCCAGTGGGAGGCGCTCCCTCGGAGCCCGAGTGGCGGTGTGGGCGCTGCAGCAAGCCCGCCGTCCAGCCCACGTCTCCCACCACCTGCGGCTCACTCGTGGGTTTTACCGATGGTTCTGTGGGTCATCTGCTTTGTGTTTATTTGCTGTGTTCTCGCTCACAGTAAAGGTTGAATTACATACACATGAGCACACGTGTGTGTCATGCGTCTAAATGTCACTGGGCAAACGCACAAAAGAACCTCAAGCACGTGAGGGAGGGAAGGAGGGAGGGGGCGTCCGGGCCGCCCAGGTCAGCTCAGGATGCACTGCAACGGGGGCCATTTCACCGCCAGCCAGCGGCTTTGAAAGACTGAGTTTGGGGAGAACAAACTTTTTCCCCTTTAAATTATGATGCTTACAATTTCAATTTCAGAAATTAAACCTGACCAGGGATTTTTAAGAATGTGTTACCCTACCCTATTGAGGTGGGCTTTTAAAAGCCACAAAAAAACACGAACCAAACAAAAACCCACCCAGGGTTACCAGAAATATCAGGTACTTTTTAATATAATGTCCTCACGGAGGTCTAACTCAACACCCCGTCGTTCACCCTCAGTGTTGGTTTCGCTGAACCATCTCGCTTCAGAACCCCACGAGGCAGGGCCCGAGAAGGCAGTTCTGGTCCACACACCCTCCCGGGCAAACCTCTCAGCAGGGTGGCCAGGACCAGGGGGGCAGTGAGCCGTCCCTCAGCACAGAGCAACTGTGGGTGAGTGCCAGCCACGGCCACGGCCACCACCCTGCTGCTGCTCAGATGCACCTGCTTCTCAAAGTTCATCCTGCCCTCGCTTGACCCACGCAAGGAACATCACCCCTGACTCTTTTGAAGGGAACTTATGTAACAAAATTATCTATTTTAAGGTAACCAATACAGTGTTATAAGTACAGTTACAGTGTTGAGCAACTATTACCTCTAGTTCTAAACCATTTCAAGCCTTGGCTGGTGTGGCTCAGTGGATTGAGTGCCAGCCAGCAAACCCAAGGGTCACCGGTTCAATCTTCAGTCAGGACATGTGCCTGGATTGCGGGCCAGGTCCCTGGGGGAGCGGGTGGGGGAGTGTGTGGGAGGCAACCACACATTGACGTTTCTGTCCCCCTCCCTTCCCCCTCTAAAAAAATAAATAAAATATTCTTTAAAAAATGAAAAACAGCCCTGGCTGGTGTAGCTCAGTGGATTAAGCGCAGACCTGCAAACAAAGGGATCATGGTTCGATTCCCAGTCTGGGCACATGCCTGGGTTGCAGACCAGTTCCCAGCAGGGGACACACAAGAGGCAACCACGCATTGATATTTTTCTCCCTCTCTTATTCTCTTCCCCTCTAGAGATAAATGAATAAAATCTTAAAAAAGAAAGAAAAACAGAACATCTACTCAGTTGGCAAAGACTGATGAATTTGATATACACCCAGGGTTGGTGTAGATGTGGGGGATGGGCACATGGAGGGAAAGGGAGGGAGTGCAAAGCCCCAAGGGGTGGCCTCCAGGAAGCCTTGGGGGTAACAGCAGCCCCCCTGTGGAGAGTCTAGGGGTGTGGGGGCGACTTTGCCCTCAAGTCCTCCCATTCACCACAGATGAAAGTAAACACTACCAAGACATCTACTTGGGGAGGAGAGGTGGCCAGTTTCTCAGAGGAAAAAGGCCAGAAGCCCCTTCCTCCAGGGGCTTTTACTGGGTTGTAATATGTTGGGAACCTTACACCTGGCTTCTAGCTAAAAACATTGCGTTGATTACAGGAACCTGTGCGCTCCACAAGCCAATCGGCTACAGGCACATGAGGTGTCCACGAGTACCAGTTGCACCCAAGTAACCAATAAGCGGGCCCTTCTTAGTCTCGAGCTAGCCAATAGCAAGCAACCCAATCTCTCCCTCCTCCCCTATATCTATACCCAGTTCGGAAAAATAAAGTTTGCAGCTTGATCAGAATCTTTTGTCTTGCTGCCATTCTTCGCGCCTCTTGTCCCCCCAACCCATTTGTTCTAGGTAGGTGGTCGAGCTCCAGTTGACTGCTCTGCGGGCCGCAGCAAGTGGCACCCAAAGTGGGGCCCCCGATAGCCGCCGGAACAAAGCACCGTCCCCGCCAGTGACTTCCCTACACGGATTGGATCGCCGACTACTCCACCGCCACACAGATCCAGGAGCCCCTCCCCTCGACGGCGAACTCGGCCAGGTAAGTCCCAATCATGGGACAAGCATGTTCACAGAATGATATTTTTATAAGTCAATTAAAGCAAACTCTCAAGGTGCAAGGAACTCGAGTTAAGAAAAAGGATTTAGTTTTATTTTTTGACTTTATATTCAAAATGTGCCCCTGGTTCCCCCAAGAAGGGACGATTGACCCGCGGTGTTGGAACCGGGTCGGAGATTGCCTTAATGACTATTATCGAGTCTTTGGCCCCCAGACTGTCCCCATCACCGCCTTCAGTTACTTTAATCTTATTAAAGAAATCTTAGTCACTCATGGGCATTCTCCGAATGTCCAGAGCCTCTGTAAAGAGGGACAAGAAATTTCAAAAAATCAATCTCGGCCCCCTTCGAGGGCCCCCTCAATTTGCCCCTCAATTTCTATTAACATAGAGGAAGAGATGAAAAAAACCCCTAACCCTTCCCGTAATTCCTCAAATAACCATGTCGACCACTTAAACCCAGCAGAAGAGGCCGAACTCGAAAAAGAGGCAGCTTCTTACAATAACCTTGACTGGCCTCCTCTCTCTTCTGCTCCCTTACTTAAAGATCTCCCAGCTTTTCGGCCACCCCCCTATGCACCCTCGAACCTACCGCCTGCGGCCACCCGTATTCTGGCCCCCATTCTAAACAACCCCGAGCCACCAACAATCCATCAAAAATCCCTTCTCCAAAAAACCTCCATTCAAGAAGCCTTGATTCTCATTCGAGAAATCAAGGCCGTGGCTAAAGAATTCACTGATTTGACCGTATCCACCTCCACTGAATTACTTGCTTTCCCTGTCACCAGAAGCCAAAGTCAGGCCAATGCGCCCTCAAACAGCCAAGCCGATGTGCCCTCAAGTAGCCGAGCCCGCGAGACCGACGGCTCCCAACACCCTCTCCCAAGTAGTGAGGATGAACGAGAGTCTAACGGCTCTAGCTCTGATGAGCTGATGAGGAAGAGGCTTCTGCCTCCGAACCCTCATACTCCCACTCCTATAAGCGGCTCAGTTTAAAAACCTTAAAAAAATCAAAACAGCCGTAGCCAACTATGGTCCCACTGCCCCCTTCACAATTGTCTTAATTGAAAACCTTAGTGAACGGTGGCTTACACCCAATGATTGGTTTTTTGTAGCCAGAGCCGCCCTAAGCGGAGGCGATTTCATACTTTGGAAAAGCGATTACGAAGAGACCTCCAAACAATTCGCTGAACGTAACGCCCGTAAAACCTCTTCCAAAAGGTGGACATTAAAGAAATTCCTAGGCACTAGCCCATATCAACACAATAAAAAACAGGCTCAATATCCCCCCGGACTTTTAACACAAATCCAGTCCGCCGGGTTGAAAGCCTGGAAGCGCCTCCCCCAAAAAGGGGCCGCTACCACTTCCCTAGCAAAAATTAGACAAGGTCCTGATGAACCCTATAGCGACTTTATTAGCCGCTTACAAGAGCTAGCAGAGCGCCTATTCAGCACAGGAGAAAGTGAAAGTGCCTTTGTAAAACATCTCGCCTACCACCCACTAGCTTTCCCCAAACCGCAGGGAGTAGACCTAGATACCCAGACTGCTGACATTTTAATAGCCACACATCAAGCTCTTAATGTATCTAACCCTCACCTAGCCGAGGATTGCTGGTTATGTATGAGCCTAGGCACCCCCATGCCTTTAGCTATTCCTGTCAATATATCCACCCTTAATGAATCACAGCTACAGTGTAACCCTAGTTTACCTTTTAGAGCCCAACCTACAATATTCCCACCCTCCCCGTGCTTACAAGGCATAGCTCAAAATAATAGCTTCGACATTCCCGTCGGCTTTATAGAATTTACTAGTTGTAGCAGCATAACGAATTATAGTAACCCCCTTTGCCCAGGTCATGGACAAATATTCGTTTGTGGAAACAACCTGGCCTTTTCAGCCTTGCCTGCTAACTGGACCAGGCTATTTGTCTTGGCTACCTTACTACCAGATATAGATGTTCTCCCCGGAGACGAGCCTGTCCCTATTCCCAGCTTAGACCATATTGCAGGGCGACAAAAAAGAGCATTAACATTCATACCCCTATTAGTTGGATTAGGCGTCTCTGGAGTAGTTGCCACAGGGACTGCAGGATTGGGAGTCACAGTCCATTCATACACAAAGCTCTCTAAACAACTAATTGATGATGTCCAGGCTCTGTCCAGTACCATTAGTGACATCCAAGACCAAGTAGACTCCCTAGCAGAAGTTGTCCTTCAAAACAGACGAGGTCTAGATTTACTTACTGCAGAACAGGGAGGTATCTGTTTGGCTTTATAGGAACACTGCTGCTTCTATGCCAACAACTCAGGCATCGTCCGAGACAAGATAAAACAGTTACAAGAAGACTTAGAAAAAAGAAGAAAAGAACTTTCCGAACACCCCCTTTGGGGTGGACTCAACGGAATTCTCCCCTACCTCCTTCCCCTCTTAGGACCTTTAGTTTCTATCACCCTCATCCTCTCCTTTGCCCC